GATCACCTCAAGCCCCATGACTGCAGAGGTACTGGCACCAGAAGGACTCAGCTCAGCAACTTCCCACTGACCTCTCCCATTTCCTCTTGGATTTTACATCATTTTCTGGGATGTAAAAGTGACACTGTGAGCTGGAGGAAACCTCACAGAGAGGTTTATGGCCAGGCTGCTGAGCACCCTCCTTCAGCAGGGGAGGGTTTGCAAGGCCTCACAAACCCATGGGGGACAAGACAGGAATCCCAGCACTCCTGTCTCCATCTCTAGGCTGCAAAATATCACTACAGGTCAGGGATAACAGGGATCTCACCCCCAGGCCATCCCTTGGGAGCAGGCAAAGGAAGGAACAGGCAGGGATATCCATTTGCTCTGCCTGCTAATGAGGGATTAATGCAGTACAGGGCCTAAGCATCGCTAATGAGTGGAGAAGCCACACAGACACCTCATACCTCTCCTCCCACCTGCTTCATCCTTCTGTGAGGACCAGACCTGGCACTGGGTATTAATTAAACCCCCAGGGGGTGTCAGTGCAGGAGAACATCATCTCCCCATGCCTCTGATGTCTAGCACGGTGTTGTTAGCCACATCAAGTGAACCATGTGCTGCCTGCCCACCTGGATCAGCCAGTCCCACCGTGCCAGCAGGCAGCTCTGTGCCCTGGCCATGGCCATCCCCTCGCTTGCTCCAGGCACTGCTCCCCCAGTAACTCCTTCCACACCTGCACATGGGCACAGAGGTGCCCGGGGGATGCTCTGCTGGGAGCTGGGAGAAATCTCCAAGCCCTGATGCTCTCCTGACCAGGCTGTAATGGTCCTTACAGAAGAGGAGCTCTGCTTCAGCGAGCTGAGCTCTCTCAGAGTGAAGAATCTTCAGCTGTATACAGTAGATTTTCTTTAATGGACACATTACTTTAAACTAAGCCTTCACCATCTGTTCCAGTCCCTAATTATCAATACAAAAACAAACGTCTACTCACAATTACACTCGTAACAAGTAAAGATGCCAGCAATTAGAATGCAGCAGCATCCCCGCGCCGAGCAGCGCTTCCATCTGGGATGGCACTCGCGCGATCCAGGCGGGGAGGACTCACTGCTGCCCCAGGCTCCCTGCACCCTCCCGGGCAAACTTGCCCACAGCCGGTGCCTGTGGCACCTCAGAGGAGCCAAGGATGGGCTGGCACCATTCCAGCAGCAAGGGAAAAATAAGTTATCTGGGCACAGAGCAGGGCAGCACGGGATCTGCCGTGGGAGCCTTCATCTCACACCAGCTGATGCCAACCACCCTTCCTGACAGGATTTAAGCCTCTTTCAGAAAAACCCTTCTGACTATCCAAAATGAAGCAGAACTTACTGCCTGAAACCCATGCTTCAGACCTGCCATGAGAAGGTGTGACTCCTCCCTGGGAGGGAGCAGGGTCTGGCTACAGGCAGAGACAAGGAGGCCAACCCACACCAACCCGATCTGATCATGTTTTCACGCTGTCATGTGGAAGGAAAGAGATAAAACAACAAATTTTCTGCTCAGGGAGGGCATGAAGAGACTTCTACGAGCGCATCGCTCCTCAGTAACTGCCTCGAGGACATGGTCCCTCTCCTAAAGCAAGGAACAGCAGCTCTCACTCCTGCAAGAAGAGAACGGCAGGAACCAGCCTAAGGCACTCGAAAGCAAATGCTTGGGCATATGCAGAGAGATGCAGGCATGGCTAAGACGACCTAGAGGAAAAAGATAGAAATTAAGCAAAATAAGGAGAGAGGAGGTTTGATAACAACAGATGGGTAGAGGGAGATTTGGAAAGGCTGCCAGCTGCTGGAAATAAGCCCCCCAAGATGCGCGGGGAGCAGAGAGGTGCGTGGCGCTCGCTGAGCCTTCGGAGGGAGAGGAGATGGGAGGGCAGCTCTGGACTGAGGGGCAGGGTACACAGGGCTTGGGTCTGGGGGCAGAGGATGCTCCACAGGAGGAATCTTTGGAGACTCATCCTGATGTGTCTAAGTAAGTGCTGATGGGGTCAGTGCACAGTCCAACCCCAGGGCACATCCCCTGGGCAGCGTCAGTCCCACAGTATGGTTTTCTGAAGGGGAACAATAGCAAGACTCCTTTTCCATAAGGAAAGCACCATATTTTCCCCTCTATTTCATGCTTGTAAATGCCAAGCTTGTGTCCTACCCCCTCCTTCTCTCCCAAGAGCTTCAGCAAAATCAGCCCAAGGCAAACGCACAGCTTGGGAAGCTTCTGTCCAAGTTTGGTGACATTACCAGAGACAGGGAACGATAGGGAAACAGAGCCAAGATGCTTCATTCCAAAGCCTAGTGCTAAATAACATTAAGTGCTATGGTATCGTGAGCTTTGCCTTCCTGGGGCTGTCACAACTCCAAGCCAAGCCCAGCTTCTTGCATCATGCCTTGCACCACCACAACCTCTATGCTTGTGGTCTGCATCACACCTCTCCAT